AGTTGAGGTATACCTATGATGAAAATTACAGGCCTCTCTCATCTTTTTAAGTGGGAGAACTTGCACAATTGGTGGCTGACTAAATACTTTTTTGCCCCACTGTATTTATTAATTTGAATAGTAAGTATCCAGTAGCATAGATAAGTAAATTCTGACATTTTCATTTATTATAAACTCTATATTTTCAATTCATTAATAATTAATGTGTAATAAAAATAATAGATGGAAATAAGAACATTTTTAAAAGTAGTATCAGGGTAAAACAATTTATTATATCTATGCCCTAGCGGTTTGGCACAAGGAAGTGCTATAAATTCTTGAGATAAGAGAAATCCTTTTATCAATACAAACTACTAAATGAGTAAATTATCTTAAAAGCCAAGACTAAGGGCATTTCCACACTGCTGACACTTCTTTTTCCCAGTTCTTCATAGATCATCAGATTGTCTTTAATAATTTTCTGACCTACCTCCAGGAAAACACAGGGAACAAGGATTAAAAATCATCACCCATCCTGAGCTGGTGCAGATCCTACCATAACAGAAATCCCTTCATTCCCACTCCACCTAGCTTAATAAAATAAATTGTATACAGTACACAGACCTTTCTATGCCCATGTTTTGTGTGTTTGTTTAGTTTTCCAATCTCCCCCTTCCCCTTTTTTTCCCCCCAATCATTTTCTTTCAAGCCACCTTTTTCCTTGAAGGTCCTAAAGCCCAGGAGTAGGAGGCATGACAAACCAGGAGTTTTTGCAGATAGACAAATGAATTGCCCTCAGACTCCACAGAGATTCAATTTTTTAAAAAAGGAAAATTAAAACTATTACTTCTGTGGTTTCATGTATCCCACATAGCAGCTGCACCAGAAATAAATGGATTCAGCCATTGAATATAGTTGACTTTGTAGGATCACAGAGGTCTGTTTTTCAAACGGACAGAATCGTGTGCATATACCCTCACTATAGTAGAATTTGAAAGACAATTGTGTTCCTTAAACATGCTAGATGGCAGTTATTTATTTATTTATTTATTTATTTATTTAACTTGTCCCCGCCCATCTCCCCACAATGGG